GATAATTTAGGGTAAAGTCAGTCTTTGTGCTAACATACTCTGCTGAGGGCAAAAAAAAAACTTTTTTAGCATCAATTTGTTTTTCTGCGTATTTGGGTTTTTTTTAAATTTTAAATGATAATTTTGAAAATAATTGTACACAAAAGAAAATAAAAATTAGTTGTCTAATTTAATTACTATTATTTGGTATATTTTCTGATTCCTGTAGTTTGTTAGGAATGTTTATACTATACATAGATACCTATTTGTATTAATTCTCCTTTTTTTCCCTCCCACATTGTTGACTGTTATTTGAATTTTTTTCTTTTTCTTTTTCTCTCTCTCTATTTTTTGAGATGGAGTTTTGCTGTTGTTGCCCAGGCTGGAGTGCAATGGCACGAACTCAGCTCACTGCAACCTCCACCTCCTGGGTGCAAATGATTCTCCTGCCTCAGCCTCCCGAGTAACTGGGATTATAGGCACCCGCCACCACAGCCAGCTAATTTTTGTATTTTTAGTAGAGACGGGGTTTCACCATGTTGGCCAGGCTGATTTCGAACTCCTGACCTCAGATGATCCACCTGTCTCGGCCTCGCAAAGTGCTGGGATTACAGATGTGAACCACCGCAACGCTGGAAAAAAATGTTTTTTAATGGCTGTATGCATAATAGCCCATTATATGGAAGACCTGTGAAGTATTTCACCCCTCTCCTGTAGTGGGTATTTAAGTTAATAATTAATAAGTCCAGATTTTTGCTGTTACCGGATAAATCTGTGGTATTATTTCTTTACTTGATTAATACGATATATTTCTGAAAGTGGAATTACCAGGTTAAAGGGTACAGGGTAGGATATGAACCGCTTTTAAGACTTTTTATTACCTAGTGTCAGATTTCACTCCAGGGAGATGATACCAAAAGGATTCTTTTAGGTTATTGTACGACATTCGGACATCTTCACTATTTTCTGTGTCATCATAAGTATAGAGACTTTCAAAGCCATGTTCTTAATCAGTACTTTTAAAAACCGTAGCTCACATTTAACAGATGACTCCCGCAAATCATTTTGAGAATTGTATGAGAACTTTTAGATATCTTGTATACATTAATAATAATGATTGAAAAAAAAAGTGTGTAGCTTGTGTGCTCTCAACTTTCTTCTGGTAATATTTATGTTTTTAGGCAACAAGCTGTTGTTTTTTAGTTGGGTGCGTGTTCTTCTCTGAAGGGTTTTTAAAAAAATAATTACTTGTAAATTGGATGGAAAGCAAAAATCAGATTGGGACTGAATATACATTTTAGATTTGAAAAGATAGCTTAGGGAACTGGTTCCTTTTTGTCCCATGGCTTATAGTTTCTAAAATGAATTTTATAGATCAATGTTACTTTATGAATTACCAGTATTAATTGATTTGTGCAGCTTGCCAGAGTCACTAGAAAGAATGTGAGAAATAAACTTGGTTAATTGTTGAAGTCACGTATGTGTACTCTGTTCTTGGAGCTCAAGTTTAGTGTAGGCATATGTATATTACAGTTAGCTTACTCCTTTAATTAGAACCATGCTTCATCCCACTGTTTTTATAAAATTGCTGGAGAATTCTGAAGCGTCAGTGTTCTAGGTACACCCAAGATTTTTCATTTAGTACAAGGTGTCCAATGATTTGAAGTTGTAGAAGAAAGCTTTCAGCAGCTCGTAATTAATAGGACCTTCTAATGTTCAATCTGGAAAGTATCTTAGAGTTCATCAGTGGTTTGGTGGGGTACTCAGTCATAGAGGAAATTCACTGTGGGTGGGTGGCAGGCTGGGAAATATTTTCTGAAGCCCAGGCATATTGTACAATAAAACACAAAATTACAGGAAGTTTTAGGACAAGCCATTGGATGTCAAAGATGTGTAATGTTTACCACGTACAGCCCTAGACCAATCCTGGCCCACAAGAACCTTAGTTCACTCACCCCTGCTTTTAGTTTTTCCTCAGTGGAGAATGAAAAGCTCTGATAGAGTCTAGTTTTCCTGTTACAGATGGAGAAACGAGGCCCAGAGAGAGGTTAGTGATCCTGCCCTGTGTTAAACAGGAAGTTACCTTGCAACCCAAGTCCCCTTACTCCTAGTCTAGTGCTACTGTTTGGCAGCTGTATCTCACAATTAAGTGCCATATTCTGCATAACCCAAATTGTATTGCATATGAGGATTTTCAGTGACATTCATTGGATTAGAAAGTACTTCAGCATTGGCTCGTTGTTTATTGGTCAAATGATCTGTGGAAGACCAACTTTGTTGTCATTTCAATAAAGCTGGGCACTTAGAAGCTAGCTGTGTCTTATGGAAGGCTTGTTGACGCTTCTTCAGGAGCCCAGCTTAAGTGCCAGGGGCCTGCAGAGCAAAGGGAGGAGTATGTAAATATTTGATTTTAGCCCAAGCCAGCATCCACAACAGGAGGGTGTTTCCTGGGAGAGAATATTGACACCAAGGGCAGCATTATTTACATAATTATCCTCTTCTCTACCAGCTACATTTATGTCCCCTGACAGCACGTAGCACAGAGTAAAGGGTAAATGGTGCCACGTAATACTTGCTGAATTATATTATATTACTAAAGTATACACATACACATACATCCTGAATTTTCACATTGGTACTCTGTTTTATGGGGGAAAAGTCATGGAAAAATAGAGCTAAGCTAGCCAAGATATTTTGTTAACAGAGCTCACCTGCAAGAGGACAGTTTGCTATAATATTTTTATTTAATTGCTTACTGGTGCTACCTCATTGATTTAGCCCATGTATCAGGTTATTCTTCAGAAGATGAAATGTTACTACAGAACAAATGTCTTGAGAAAAGTTGATCAATCATGAAGGACTCTATAGAACACTCAGTCGCTTAGTAATACCAGGATAGAATTTTTTATATAGCATATCCCTAGAATTAACTTAAAACTGCGCCATGGTATATAATTTGGGGGAAAAAAATGTGATCTGGTGCTTCAATCACATAAAGGAAAAATAATCTTGAGGTTTAGAATAAGACCTAGAAATTAATCATTTTTTGAATGTATGTGGCCGATTTGAGAAAGAATCTTTGCTCACACGCAGCTTTTTGAAAGTGGGATGAGTTGAAGCTGGTAAGTTGAAGCTGACAAGCAATGGTGGTGGCACCCAGTGGGACTGATCCAGTGATGTCTGGGCACCACCGTGTGAAGACAAGGACAGCGGTGAAGAGGGAAGAGCCCATGGGAGAGGCTGCTTTGGCCTTTGACTCAGTAATTTAGTTTTTATAAAAGGGGTCCCCGTCGTGTTGCACTGACTTTCTTCTCTTAGGAGGCAACTTGGTTAAAACTGTCTTGCAGATTCAAAAGTGGTCAATACAGCACTTATTAAAGAACAATGGAAAGAGAGAACTAACATGTATTAAGCCCTTCAGTCTCACCTACTAAGCATGGAACATAAACTGCCTTGCTCAGTCCCCACAACCGCACAACAGTCCTAAGATGATGTCGCCTTTTTTTTTTTTTTAATCATCTTGTAAGCACACCAACACTGGGGCTTCAGGTTTACAGAAAGGCTCTTTTCCCCAGACCATACTTGCAGTCTGCCTCTGCTCTCTGTGGTGCTTTGGTATGTGCCTTCTGCAGTAGACTGAGCCCTGAGGGCTCACTGCTATGCACCTGTTCCAGGCTTTTCTGGGTCAGCTCAGGAGTATTTTGGTCTTCTGCACACATCACCTTGGAAGTGGACCTGTGTATTTAAATCACTGATGTATGCTGCAAGCTCCTGGTCCACCCCCACTCACTCACTCCTGAAAATAAACATGCTAGTATATTGAACTCACTAAGTAAGGCAAAGCCTCAGTAAGACTCACAGAAATCATCAATAATAACATGGGTTGCAGTGCCCCCACCTCTCATCCCAGTTTATTTATTTCTTTATTTTTATTATTATTTTTTGAGACAGAGTCTTGCTCTGTCGCCCAGGCTGGAGGGCAATGATGTGACCTCAGCTCACTGCAGCCTCTTCCTCCTGGGTTCAAGTGATTCTCCTGTCTCTGCCTCTCTAGTAGCTGGGATTACAGGCTCCCACCACCACGCCCAGCAAATTTTTGTATTTTTTAGTAGAGATGGGGTTTCACCATGTTGGCCAGGCTGGTCTCGAACTCCTGACCTCAAGTGATCTGCCCACCTTTGCCTCCCAAAGTGCTGGGATTACAGGTGTGAGCCACTGTGCCCGGCCTGTTTATTTTTTTTTTAGAAATAAGATCTTGCTATCTTACCCAGGCTGGTCTCCGACTCCTGGCCTCAGATGATCCTCCCACCTCGGCCTCCCAAAGCTCTGAGATTATAGGCATGAACCACTGTGCCCAGCTTCTCTTGGCTCTTTAAAAAAATAGTTTATTTTCCCTTGTTACCAGAACAAGTCTTGATTTGATTCCTGACTACACCATTTAAACTGTGAGGTGTAGTCATTTGTGGAAATTGAAGTCTGTATGTATAGGATTTACCTCCAAATATTTGGTAATTACAGATCATTTTTGCTGTTGCATCACTTTTCGTATCTCCCTTCTATTGAAAATACCTCAGTTAATAAACAGTACAGGTCCACTTGCGAATATCTGAAGATACAGGAGAAAGCTGAATTTCCTTGTCATTTTTTATTGTGCCTCACCACATCAAGGGAGTGTGGTGATGGTGTTATGAGAACCCTTACGTATTAAAGGCTCACTATTGATTTGATGTGAATAGAATTTGGTATTTAATATGAAATCTGAATAGTGTAATTTGAGGCAGAGCAACATACCTATTAAACTTTAGAGCTAGGAAGTAACTTGGTCTGTGGAAGGAGGGTTTACAGCAGGGGAATACTGCGGCTTTTGCTAAAATGATTTCAAATTTTCAAATATCTGAATTAAACACATGAGATTGTAATTTTCTTCATGTATGTCTGTGATGTCGTTACACAACAGTCAATTTTAATGAAAACATAAATATTTAAGTCACAATTTCTCCTTTTCAATTTTTCTCATCTAGAAGGAGCTGGCAAACAGCCCTGACTGTCCCCAGATGTGTGCCTATAAGCTGGTGACCATCAAATTCAAGTGGTGGGGACTGCAAAGCAAAGTAGAAAACTTCATTCAGAAGGTAAAAATCTGTTGAAAACGTGGTGACTTAGATTTAGGGTAAGATCGGAGCTAGCTATTATTAATGGGGTATCTTCTCTATTGTTACTTTTTTTCCTTCCTTTATGATATGAAAATTATTGTCACTACATAATTCATTTTAGCCCTTCTTTATACCTTGAAGCAGCAAAGACAGATGGCAGCAGAGGTTTTAAGGGACTTTCTTTGGGGACAAGCACAACAGCTTTTCATTCAAAGTGCTTACCTTATGATTTGCCCAGTACTTCTGTAGAGAACCCTTTTCCCCACACAGCACGTCCCCAAGAGGACCTGGTGTTCTGATCCTGGCTGGAGGGAGAGAGCGAGCCCAGCTTGCTGAAGGGCTCCTCTGCCCCAGCTCAGCTGGACCCTTCCCCCTAACCTCCATATCTCTCAGAATATATATGTGTGCCTTGTGCTGTCACAGGGGAGGGATGTCTTCTTTAGAGGTCCTTAGTGAAAATAGGCACACTCTGAACTAAGGTACACAATCTGATGATCCAAATTCTACTTGTTTCTTTTTTATGTCTTCTTTATTAAAGTGAAAGTAACATGGGCAGTTAGATCTAGGAGGAGGGGAGAATTGGAATTTTATAAATGCACACGGTTGTTACTACCTAGGAATGTTGAAACATTTCCTTGGTATTTACTTTTCCTGTAGGGTGAATATTTATTCTGTTATTATTATAAAGAAACCCTCATTATATCTCAGATCTCCACAATTAGTAGTGTCTGTTTCATAATAACTTTTCTATTTTTAAACTATAGCTGCTGTAATACTTTATAAGACAAGGATCTCAAAGTGCTGGAAACTTTGATTATTCATGGGCCTGCTTGCAGTTGGCCCACAGTAGGCATTCTGTAAATATTGGTATTCTTCCTTCCTCTTGGATCATAATCATAGATTAACAGTCCAGTTCTGAAAAAATGGAAGTCACACATGTAATTGATAAAATCCTTTCTATTCATGGAAAAATATTTTTAAGTTGAAGGTTGTCCAGAAATACTTACTGTTCCATGCAGTTTTCTCTCTTTTTGGGAAAGTTGAATAAAACTTAAATAATCCTGCAATTGAAACCACATTATATACATGGTTTTTAAATATATTTATAATAGTGGCAGCAATGTGTTGTGTAGAAAAATTAAGGGAGAGTTTGTAATGATTCTTAATTTAATAAAAGAACCCAGGACTCTTTTCTTTCAATGCATTATTGTATTCCACTTCATAGTGCATGTTAAGAATGACAATATATAGTTTTATAGCAGAAGAAATCTAGTTGACCTTTGCTCATTGACATTTAGAAAAAGGTAAAAATAAATCAGGCCCAGCAGGAATGTGTTGGATTAGGTCATACACACCACATTTTTTTAATTTCTACTAGATCATGACACCTTTGCCTGGGAGATTGTTTTCCATTTCACAGGGAAAGGTTCTTTTTTTTTTTTTTTAATTTTGCTGTACACAATGATAATAAAATGGAATTATGATTTCCACAAATCTACAGAGTAGTCTTTTTGAACCAAATGTGTAAATTTCATGGGTTAATTGGAACATGTAAAGTTAATGTGTCATTAATCTTAAGTTTTTGTCATCTTGTGCTACTTTTTTTCTTTGCTTTAAAAGCAAGAAAAACGGATATTTACAAACTTCCATCGCCAGCTGTTTTGTTGGATTGACAAGTGGATTGATCTCACAATGGAAGACATTAGGAGAATGGAAGACGAGACTCAGAAAGAACTAGAAACAGTAAGACTGGCTGTTCTATGGCAATTCTCTAATTTTCCCTTTTCTAAAACTGTATACATGCTTGTAAATACAGAGCTAGAATTAGGAAGAGTGTTATTAAAAGCCATTCCGTATTCTACTTATTCTCATCAAAATGGAGTTTCTTAGACACTGCTATTCCTTCACATATTCTGATCTCTCTTTTGTTGAGCAGATTGCGTGAAGGTAGACTAGAGTTTTCTCAGTCTAGAATTTGTTACCTGTTAAATATCTAATGCTTCTGTATTCTTTCTTACACACAAACTCTAGTTCTCTATGTTGGTTCCTGGTTCACAGTCCTTTTAGACACTTTACCAGACTAAGTTGCTTTTGGCTCAGTTTGTATCACAGCAAGTTTACAAATGTTAACACGATAAGTCCTAGTTTGCTTTTTTTGTAGAAAAGGTAAGGCTAGTGGTATTGTTACTAATTCTGGAAATGCCTCCTCTGCTTCTCCCAACTAGCAGTGAATCTTTATTTCTTCCTAAGCTTTAGGCAGATTCAGGTGATCCTTGGGCAAGAGGTCAGCATGCCACAGTTCAGTGTTACAGCCCATCCCAGCTGCTCACCACCACTGTGGGCAGGGCCGGCAGCCAGTGGGCGTCTCCTCTCTCGTCGGGATGGATGCTTCCCTGGCTTCCTCTTGTATGTGTCTGGTTTTGTTTTTGCCCTGGGCCATGTTTGTCTTCAGTTGGCAGTAAGGCCCCATGGGTGAAACGGACCCAAGGAATGTCCAGGGCCTGCTAGTGGTTTCCATGTGGTCATCTCGAGTCCTGCCAACAGGCCCAGTTTTGGAAGCCCTGCAGGTGTGAGCATTTGACAAACGCCTGCGTGTGAGGCAGAAACTCCATTTAATCACAGGAGAATGGCAGCAAATCAGATTCTTTGGCACAAAAGGAAACCTATTTTTCTGGCACATAGCATCGTAAAGAATCTGTTTAAAGTTGCTTACTTTTGGTGATTACAGCAGATCTGCTTCTAATTAGTTTTATATAAACCTTCTGAGAGGACTAGGACATATTTTCTTTATAAGGCAATAAAATATTTTAACCTTATCTTATACATAAAGTAAACTATAGGCAGACTCCAACTTATGAATGGATTTTGTTCCAAAAAATTTTGATTGTTTGAAATTTGGAACATATTTTATAAATTAGGGTTTGGTTTCTAGACTAGCCAGCAGAAGCCTCTTTGACTCCAATTTCTCATACTAATATTAGGGCTCTGAGTTCTGGATATAGGGAATAGGGTGATGAAATGGCAAGAGCGGAAGATACCCCCATCACTTCCTTATTTTTATTCTAGCCACAGGCAAAACATTTAAATAGGCAACAGCAGGTCATGGGCACTTCCTACCTTTCTTTCCAGACCTCTCTCCCACTTCTGTGTTCCCTTTTTCAAGAGTCAGGTGCCTTTCTCTGACTCTATAACAAGCACCCCCCTGGCCCTCGATACCCTATCCAGTTTTAGTCCATTTGCCTTGTCTGGTTTCACTCCCTCCAAGTGCCCAAGTCTCCAGGAATACCTGCCAGCTCTGCCTTCAGCCCTTCCAAGCTGCTGGTGGGTGTCCACTGAACATGAAACAGAAGCAGCAAGAGACAGCCATCCACACTAAGCCCATGATGTAGCACTGGCATTTTCAACAAGGATTTACCAATAGCTCAAACCCTTGGGAGAGAGCCCTTCTCTCAGTTTTTAATTTTTATACCGAAGAACTGTGTGTCACATAGGGAAGAGTAGTTACCATTGACCAGGTGATAAATATAGCCCTATCTGGTTTGGACTCTGACCCCTACCTATCTCTGGACCCCTTGGACAGAACTTGACTGAGATTTCTTCCCCCAGGGAAGTGCTCTTGCTTCCCTAACAAGTTCTCAGCCGCACAATACCTGAACACAGAATGGTCCCAGCATCAACACGCTGTGACCCTCCGCTGTGGAGCTGGTGACTCTTGCTCTCAGCTATGGCAGTGGGCCTGCAGGTGCAGCTGCTGCTCCATGCAGATCAGTTATTTGTGAGCTGGAAATTGCACTCCTGAAGAAGGTGTAAGATAGAGAAGTAAAAGGCCAATTCCTTAGACAGTGTCACCATTCTTATACCCACATTGCTGAAACTGATTAACCCCCTCATAAAGCTAGTAGAAAATCTATCATTGCTTCACAGTGAGGGTACACAGCAATTGCTTTGTCAACTATCTCAAAAACATTTTAAGACAAATTTCACCATTAAGTGCTGCATCTTAACGTTGAATCCCATTTAAGTTATTTTGCTGTAGGTCATTGGGGAGTGCTTGATTCCACATCACAGAATCAAGATGCTGCTGCCTTGAGTCCTAACAGTGGCTTTGTGAAAGCATCCTCAGAATCTGGGCAGCATCAAGCCTGCAGGCCAAGAATGCCTACCCGGAAAGCACCTGCCTCTTGAAGAGGCATCCCATTTTAGAGTCCTCTTTACCGTGCTTTTTCCTTGAGGTCCTGACACCTGATGATAGATTTTAATGACGTTATAATGCTCTTAATTCGCAAATATTTTAAGAATTGGATTTCTTTCAAATGGGTTTTGGCCCTGGAGAGAATTAGTATCTTGAGAGGTTAGGCACACGAGGAATGCCCCTGCCTATGATCTGCAGGGAACTGCCCTGGGGTTGAGGCTCAGCGGCTGAAGGAGGACTTTAGGTTAATGTTTTACCTGTTTGTTCTTAACTGGCACTTCTGGTACAGGGGTGGGGGTGAGGATGTGTTGAGTTTTAATGCATTTATTGCATTTGTTTGTTTTCTGTTCATTTGGTTTTTTGTTTTCTCATTGAGTTGTGTCGCTTGTCTGCAGGCTATTGTTATGAATGCCTGTCCTTTCTAATACATCTGTGTGCCCATCATGGTTTGCCATACATTGTTTCTGTGTTGCCTTTTCTTCCTTTCATTCTCCCTCCTTTCAGTAAACTTCCTTTAAAGGACTCCGCTGAGAGACCCTGTTCTCAGAAGCAGCAGAGAGGTGTGGCCCACACCCTCATGGCTTCCTTGTCTGGCCTAGGGACTATACAAATGTGGACCAGACCTTTGGGACGTTTTCTCACATATTGGCAAACAATTTATTTACCCATTGACTGTTTTTCATAATTTTTTATCAGTCTGCAGGCTTTTGTTTTTTACATTTAAGGATAGATAAACCTTTTTTTGTAGCTGCTAAGAAAAGCCTTTTGCAAGAATGTCTTTAAGCCAAGGTTATTTGAGGGGCCTCAGAACTTCATTCTTAACGTGGATATGGTTATAAACAGTCAGCCGTCACTTCATAATTTCTTCTAGATCTTTTTTCTCCCCTTGCTTACTAACCCCTATTTAGAGTCTGATTTCAGCAGCTCACAATTTTATTTTACGTTTAGATGCGTAAGAGGGGTTCCGTTCGAGGCACGTCGGCTGCTGATGTCTAGATGAGTCCCCTGTAGGGTCAGAGACAATATCAAACTGTGTAAGTGAAGACCTGGGTAAAAAGATGTTTCAAAACCTGTACCTTTTGGTGATGGGCAGTTAACTTGCTGAGCAGAAGCTCTAAGTGTTAAATGTGGTTATATTTTTAGAATTTAAAAGATAAATATTTTAGAAATTAATAGTGAACACTTATTATATAGTCTTTAAAAATTTTACCTGTGGACCAGGTTGAATTTAGTAATCCTGGGTTAGTTTTTAGTGTTATGGGTTAGAACCCAGCCGCCAGGTGCTCTTACTCATCATGTAGCACATTGTCCTAGAAGCTAGCTGATTTTTTGATACCGAGTTAATTGACCTGGTTCTTTGTAGAACCATTTGTGGTTAGTAAGGAAATATGTAAAATCACTTGAGATCAAATAAAGATTCTCTATCCCATACCATATGAGCCAACCTCAATAATTTGTTTTGGCTGTAATATTTTCTGTGCACCAGAAAGTCTTCCTTGATATTTCATCTTCAGTTATTACAGTTAGCTGTACTCTGCGTAAATGCACTTTAGTTTTAATTTATGGTGTAAAACATTTCTGTGGTCTTATTTCTTTAAAACATTATATGCCCATATAACAAATTTTCCCAGAGATGCAAAAAAACAGAAAATCAAAATCTCCCTCACAAATTGAAACCAGTGTGAGTAAACAAAAATCGACAGTATGCTGTATCATTTGTTTATATTGAACTATGATGTTTATTAGAAAAAGAACGAGATGTAACACTCTCCTCCCTCCACTGTGGTTCTTTGCTGCCCCACATGAGCTACCCGCTCTTTTAATTTTTGAACATTGGGATGAATGAAGTGTTCAATTGTGAGAAAAGCTAGTTGTGCCAAATAAGAATGAAGTAACTCTTCCAAGATTCCCCCAAAACACTTTTAAATTCCATGTTCATTAAAAAAATAATAATAATAAGTTATTGTTACTTTTGTTAAACTCTCCTAAGTTTTTGTGATTTATTTCTGCCTCGACTTTATTTTCCCCTCTGATGAGAATATATTGTGGCATTAGTAGTAAGACCAAAATCTTTTTAAACAGATGAAAATTGTAAGATGCAGTAGTTGGGGTACGTTTTCTGCCAAAAGTTTTGATACATTGAGAAATTTTTTTTTTTTTTGGAAAGTGTGTGTGACAAGCTGCTGTCTAACATTTTCTGTCTCTATTTTAACACATTTTGCACTGTCTTTCAATTTTCTTACAGTTACGTAATCAAGGTCAAGTGAGGGGAACAAGCGCAGCCAGTGACGAGTGAAGAAGAATCTGACCAGTATCTTGCAGTGTTGACGTTTCCCAGATGTGTGCTTGTGATGATACACACACAAGCACAGGTTCTCCACCACGTGTGTATATATGTATGTGTGCATATGTCTGTAGCTGTATATAAAGCGCATGTAGAGCTACAGATCCAAATACACACATTTGTGTATATATGTACATACAGACATACTGAAGGGATTAGTACAATTTCTCCAAAGTACTGTACCTATCTTCAGCAAGAATGCAAAAGAAAATATTTTCAATATATATACCTGGAACAGATTTTAATAATTATCAGAGTAATACCATTAATGGACAAATTGACTGCAATGTAATACTAGCTGGTATGTTTCATAAATGTCAAGTTGTGGACCAACATATATAGCCTTTTATTATTTTTCTCTTCTTTTAAGTCAGTTTCTTATAAATTTTTATTTTAGTCCCATAAGCAGTAGACTCCCACAGAAAATTTCTTCAAAATTTTTTGGTATTCCAGGGAATCTGGGGTGTAAACTCTGAATATATTTATAACTATTTATTTCTGGATGGTCATTATCTTGTAGCCAAATTTGACAATATAAGGTAAGGAGCAAAGTTACAGGCCAGTTTTACTTGTTTGCCCTGAGGGAAAAATCCTTAGAAAAAAATTCTGGTTTTTATTGGATTTTTATATTTTAAATTTCAAATATTTTTCTACATCAAACCTAGCAAAAATGGAGATGACGGTTTCTGATTTATAATAAACACTAGACAATTTTCAGCCTCCTGTTAGGCAAACACATTGATGGAGAAATTAGTCTTAATAGGATTGTAGGCTGTGTAGAAAAGCTAAAAGTATAGCACTTCACGGAGTGTTGTTTTGAAAATGACAGTCTGTAACTACAGCTTGGAAACTATGCAAATGGTCTAGATTCCTCAGAGCTCACATGATAGGATATAGTTAGTGATGACATTTTGCTCTTCTTGTGGAAACACACACTTCAAGGGGGAGATGGTGACATTGAGATAGGAACAGTTTAAGATGCAGTGTGAGTCTGGCCTGCGCGGTGAGGAGGCCCCGCCAGGAGGCTGGGGGACCTCCGACTGTGGGATGTGCTCTCAAGTAGGATGTCATCAGAACAGATCCTGAATAGGCATCATGAGAATGCTGGTCAGAACGGGCTGCCACTTTTTTTTTTTTTTTAAAGGAAGGAACAATAGCTAGGTTAGATTTTTATCAGCTTTCTCTGTCTGAATCCAGTTTTTCCCCTGTCAGTCCTGGAAGCTTGAATAGAATTATATTGTTGAAGCCTTCAGGTCACAAACTGTCTTTTTTAACCTCCTGTCCCTCCTAAAACACGCCAACCCCTGCAGTCAAATCACATTAGTAATCTGATTTGCTGACAGTCCTGTCCTGCCTGCTCCTTGTTTTCCCACATGTCCTGCATCCCTCCCCCACTGGAGTGATTTCAGTGAATCAGACAAGGAAGGATGTTTAGGATCACTACTGCATTGCAATACCCTGTTATCCTCAGCAACAAAACCCACATTTCATACATCCTTTGTGTACTCAGGATAAAGACCGATGTTTACTCTCTGGGCACTGTTGTAAGATAGGTTTTGTCAGAGCATAATCATTGTCTGCAAAGTGTTTGGTGCGAGGAAGATTATTGCTAATTTTGTGAAATAAAGAGTCTAGCCCTCTCCTTTTAATGAACTTAACTCTCGCTGGCATCTGTAGTATCATTGGGAGCTTAGGCACACATGGAAATGAGAGCCCGGCGCATGGATTTTAATGTTTTTCTAACAACTGTGGAGATTTGAGGGAATGTGTGGTGAATGTAAAATACCTAGTTTACTTGGCAGTCTCTTGTGTAAATTACAGTAAAACAAAGTAAATGAAATTTAAACAAAAAATAAATTTGATCACAAAATGCCACTTGTGTGCTTGAGTGGTTGTTTCCCTGAGCCACTGGTTCGGAACACCTCAGACCACTACTCTGTTTTTCGAGAACTCTGTCATTGGCAGCACTGCCACTCTGGGAAAATTGTTTTGTTTTAATTGCAAATTCTTATTCTTGAAATGTACCTGTGCCACACTAAGTGGTTACGTTTGGTTTCTTAAGTAATTTTCTGTCTTTAAAAGCTAAGCAGTAAACTAAAGGATTACATGTTATTAGTCTCAGCGGTTTTCAGAAATTCTTTTTAAAGGGGAAAACAGGGAAAACCCATCGTATTTTTAAAGCACTTAGTAAGGATTTTGCCATTTGATTCTGATTGTTTGAAGATTAGGTCTTTTTGGTGCGGGGTCACCTTTTACCTCTCCTTTTAGGATTTAGTCCTTTCCAGTCTACTTTTTTGTGCGTGTGACAACCATATTCTTGTGGTTCTGGCTCACATTGTAGAACTGCTGAACATAAGGAGAGGTAGCCAGCTCGGCTCTATGGTTGGATTTAATATATAGTGTCATATGTTGGGATATCTTACTGGTTTGTTTTCTGAGGTAAGTTTCTTAGTGTTGTGTTTCAGACATTGTGTTTGCGTTTACGGTGACACTATCATTCATGCACTTGGCCATCCGAGCATGGATACAGTGAGCCCTCGGTTCTCTCTGCCAAGATGAATAAAAGCAGTGTACATTCCAGCGTGGGAGACAGACATGTGGACAGGTAAATTACAAGGCAGTGTGATTAAGAGTAGAGAGTTGGTTGAGAGAGATCTTAGACACCATCCTCATTGTATAGATGAGAAAGCAGAAGTCGCCAAGGCAGCCTGGCAGCTGGGACCCAAGAAGCCTAGGGTGCCAGTCCTTGGGCAATGTGGGGTCAGGCATACCCGGGGCCCTCCTGGTTCCTGGCTGAGTCTTGAACTTCTTATCTCTCAATGGAGGCCATGATGCCCAGCTGTAAGGTGGTCAGGGTCACTTGAGACACTGTGTCCTGTAGCACAGTGGGGTGATTCTTCCCTCCTGTTTCATTCATCTACCAAACGGCCTCCTAATTGATCTAAAATCACTTGGATCTTTTGTCCTTGTGGACCTAACACTTGGCTTTTAAAGTTTAACTTTCTGTCCCCTCTTCAACTTGCTAAATTGAAAAGTGTTGCAGCCCAACCTCCACAGATCTTCTCAGGAAATAAGAGACATTTGTTAACATTTGTTTTGTACCTTTCCTCTCAGCAGCTTAGTTGACAAGGGCAGTGTGTGGGATTTCCTGTTCTTGCTCATTTGGAAGGAGAATGTTCTTTGTTCTTAGACCCTCAGCTCTCATGTGAGAGCCATAGAATGTTGTGAGGTGGAGTTCTGTGGATACAGAAGGAATGTTTTCAAGTTAGACTCACTGCCAATGTTAGGATTTGGGACTTTGCATGATTGGGAGGGAGAGGGAGTGCTGGAGAATAGGTTAAAAGTTGTCCCGCTGAGCTTGGAGCATCTCCTGCCAACCTGGAGTGCTTCCCAGGAGCCCTGCCAGTGTCACTTGGGGTTATGTTTTCTGATTTGGAAGCGTTCAGCAGCAGCAGGTCTCTCCAGAACTGGTTCTTCAGCCGGATTGCCCTGGGAAAGTAGAGATTGCAGCTCTTCTAAAACTGCCTCTCACAGAAGTTCCAAGGCCAGGCTGAATATTGAATGCAGTACTCAGCAGCTGGGACATCTGATGCTTTGGTGACCATCCCTTTCTTCCATCCAAAAGGGCCTCCACTGGAAAGCATCTATTGTTTTAAAAATATTTTAGGACTCATTTTTACTTCCCCCACTCCCTCAAGATCACGTACGCTCCCCAGTGAGGGTTACAGCCTCTTAGGAGGAATCACTGCTTCATGACTTCCTCAGGCATTTACATTTTTCTCTTCTGTTGACTTAAATCATGAACTAAAATTTGTCCCTGGAGGAAAGAAGAATGCTTCCTCCATTCTAGGCTCTTCTCATTGTGCCCAGACTGTGTCTTCAGGACTCTCATCTCTTGTCAGTTCTGTTATGCTAGAAAGAATGATTTGAAAAAATTGAGCTCGTGTAAACCTGTGCCCTCCACCCTGTGGGGGAACCCATGTGGGGAGCCTTTGAAAATATCACTTATCAGCTGGGTGTGGTGGCTCACGCCTGTAATCCCAGCACTTTGGGAGGATGAGGTTGGCGGACCATGAGGTCAGGAGTTCAAGACCAGCCTCACCAATATAGTGAAACCCCATCTCTACTAAAAATACAAAAAAACAGCCAGGCATGGTGGCGGACACCTGAGTCCCACCTGCTTGGGAGGCTGAGGCAGGAGAATCGCTTGAACCCGGGAGGCAGAGGTTGCAGTGAGCCAAGATTGCACCGCTGCACTTCAGCCTGGGCAACACAGCAAGACTGTCTAAAAAAAAAGAAGAAGAAGAAAGAAAATATCACTTATCTACCAGTTGTCTTTCTGTGGCTTGGGTTTGGTGTGCTCTCTGTTCAAAGGACAGGGTAAATTGCTAAGAGAATTCCCATTCTGTCTTCCGGGAAGATCATTGAGATGACAGCCTTCTCTCCCCTTCCCATTCTTCAAAGCTTTGGCGTCAAGTGGCACTTCCTGTAGGAGGCCTTAACTTGGAATGACTCCCTCTGCAGCAGTCCACACCCCTCATGTGACTCATATATACTATGCCTTGGTTAATAGATGTCATCTTTAGATCTCTGTATGTTTTGTGTCCCAAAGAGTTTGGGAGCTCCTTAGAGGTAGGAGCCACAGCTGTGCCCCCAAGTAACTTTCCCTGATGGAAACTGACTCTGAAAACCGCTCCTTTTTACCTATAACAGATATCTGCCTGCCCTGTGCCAAGGCCCCTTTTGAGTCCTGGGGTTCAAGCAGAGGGAATAATAACCAAAAAGTCAGTAAGATGTAACTTCTGCCCTCAGAATTGAAGCCTACCAACTAGCAGTGGGAAGTAGTAGTTTTGGTAGCTGATTGTACAAAATTCGATGAGAACAGAGGAGGGAGCTCCAAGTCTGCATTTCCTTCCTTGCTTTCCAGGCACCTAAACCAGAGGTTTCAGAGACTGCAAACTAAACGAATCTAAAGCAAAACTCTTTTTAGGCCTTCCTCCTTCCCAAAAATGTACTGTCTGCATTTACTATCAGTTAACTGTATCACTGGCTGTGCTGCCCAAGCCAGAAATCCTAACTGGCCCCTAAGTCTAAAAAACGCCCCCAAATGACTGAAATCCTGCCCCTTTTGTGTGTCCTGGTCCAGTGCAGACTATCCTCTGATGCACCGTCCTCTCATCTAGGGTGGGGTCTGCAAACTTCCTGTAAAAGATTTTAGGCTTTGTGGGCCATATGGTCTATCACAAGTTACTCAGCTCTGCCCTCACAATGCAAAAACATCCATAGAAGACACATAAATGAACACTGTGCCTATTCTAATAAAACTTTATTTACACAAAGAAATGGCAGGCTGGATTTGACTGGAGAGGCCATGCCTTGTTTGCCAAGCCTAGGTGTAGGGCATTGTGTGGATAATCAGGCTCTGCCCGAGTTAGCTTTGGTGCTGTGCCCCTTCTGGAACATCTGCATGACTTCCTGAGGCCCAAAAGACTACTGCAGCCAAAGCCAGTGTCCTGCCATTCTTAAAGTGAAGCCAATGAGGCTTATCAGTCTCACTGCCTATACAGGGTCAGTCACAGGTGGAAGGAATCAAGCTGATTTCTCTGCTGCCCTAAACATGCACATTGACCACAGAAATAGCTCTAAGCACCTGTTCCCCCACCAATATGCACAGAAAGCTGAAGGGCAGAGCTATGATGGGTTAACAAAAGCAGTTGATATATGGAATAGGATGAAGATAGGCCAGGTGCGGTGGCTCACAGCTGTAATCCCAACACTCTGGGAGGTCTAGGCAGGCAGATCACAAGGTCAGGAGGGAGTTGGAGACCAGCCTCACCAACATGATGAAACCACATCTCTACTAAAAATACAAAAAGTAGCCAGGCGTGGTGGCACGTACCTATAATCCCAGCTACTCAGGAGACTGAGGCAGGAGAATGATGTGAACCCTGGAGGAGGAGGTTGCAGTGAGCTGAGATGGTGCCACTGCAATCCAGCCTGGGCGACAGAGCAGCAAGACTCTGTCTCAAAAAAAGAAAAGAAGATAATTCTGATTAAACTCTTCTCAACTGACATAATTTCTCTCTACATCTGTTGTCCAGAAAATGCTATCTGTGGCTGTTAAACTAAATCCTACACTCATAAAAAGGCTCATAGACATCCTGTACTTTTTCCACAATTGAAATACGACTCCCTAGATGCCATTGCTAACGCCTTAACCTGGGCTTGGGGTCATGGCTTTTGATGGGATGTGCTGTGCCTGTGCCAGGCCTTTGCCTAGAAAATGAGCCCAGAGTTTCTGCGAGTCAGTGACACTCCACCTTGGGTTGAATCTGTTTACTTCTTGGATTTCTAGGAAGCAGTAAAGCGCCGTGACATGCTTCCGCCTTGTTGATCCTTTATATATTCTGACACCACCTGCTCATCAGTCGATAGCAGAATTGCCTTGCACTCCAGACTGAGGGAGGTTCATGAAGTGGAACGAAGGAGTGGCCTCCTGTGTTTGTTAATATATGTGCTAAACAAAAGCTTTGCCTCTGGGCATCCCATTGCATGCTGGCTCTCTGCAGCCCAGAATACTGATGCCACGGTGTCAGCGCCGCCTCCGCTTTCCCATGGCCTGGGGAGTCCCTGAAACAACTTTTCAGCCTACCAAGAGGTGCTGCAAGTGCTCCGCACCCAATGTGTCCTATAGCCTTCTCTCCCAGTGTCATTCTAAGAGAGGTGCTGTGTAGGACAAGAGACTTCTCCCAAGTGAGGCTGGAGGGAGGCTCGGGATCAGGCCCCGAACAGCCATGCATAGACATCACTCAGTCCATTCATTCCCTTAAATCAGAGTTCTATAAAGGGCTGGATAGTACATATTTTTTGGCTTC